CAATTCCTGGCTCATATCTCCCTCCCCAGAGAAGGCTATAAAAATCAGAATTACTTTCCCCAAAAGCAGGTCATAGAAACTGTAATCTTTCCCTGCCTTTCTGTCCTGGAACTGGCCATGAAGAAATTCTCTGGCCTGCCTTTTACCTCATGCCAGAGAGGTTTGCCCCTACCTGGAAGGAGGAATGCTGTATAGAGGCCAAGAAGACTTCAGAAGCAGACAGGCCTTGCTGGGTGTCCTCATCTAGTCTTCTTAGGGTTGGAGACACTAAGTCTACATAAGATCTTGGAGGGCTTGGAGAGCTTCAGTAGCTGATCAGACTTATGGAAGATACAGGACCTGGAGAACAGTATATGACAGATACCTGGGACATGGAAACTGTGTCCCTTCTACTATGCCTCACTCATCCTGAGTGTCTCTTTGTATCCTTTGTATCCTAATCATATTCCTTATGATTAACTAATGTGTTTCCCAGAATTTGGGGAGCCACTCAAGCACATTAATCAACCCAGAACTTAGGTTTGTAGGGAACCTCACTGTATAGCTGTTTGGTCAGAAATAGAACAGCAGAAGGATTGCAGCTGGCATCTGAAGGCAGGAGACAGTCTTGGGACTGAGCCTGCAACCCCTGTATCTGATGCTATTTCCCGATAGCATCCAAATTAAATTGAATTAGGCTAGCTAGCCAGGGCCCTCTGAAATATTTTTGCTTAGTTGGTGTGTGAATAACACACACAGAGACATGCAGTTAGTATCAAGAGTGCCCTGTGTTGTTTTGAGTTTGTTTTCCCAAAAGAGAGTAGAGTTCAGCCACCCTGGGGCACCTGAATCAGGGAACTATGAAACACTTTATCCAGCCTTAGGATAAAATATTTTGGATGGGGAAAGGGCAGTCCGGGGAGTTGGAGGGATGTACCTAGTCTCCCTGAAAGACAATAAGTCTGGCTCCCAAGAGAAAAAACTCACCTGAACAGATTATAAAATGACCTGTAATAAAGGTGAAATTGTAGTGAAAAGGCTGAGACATAACTTTGGAGTTCCTTGGTGTCCAGCAGATGGCGTTCAAATCTAAGGTGGCCTGAGACTGTACTGGAAATGACCACGAAGTAGCCTGTGAGAGACATAAACAGGGTACTCTTTCTGCTTTATAGTGTGTTCATCCTAACACCCAAACCTCATTTCTCTTCCTTGCCTTAGAAATGTTGCCCCGTTGGGTTAGGGGCTTAGCTTAGTTGGTAGAGTGCTTGCTTAGCATACACAAAACCTTGAGTTCAATCCCCAATGCCCCATAAACTAAACACGATAGCACTTAGGAGATAGAGTCAGGATCAAAACTTCAAGGTCATCTTTGGCTAAATAAATTAGAGGCTAGCCTAGGATATGTGAAATCCTGTCAGGCAATGGTGGCATATGCCTTTAATCCTGGCACTTAGGAGGCAGAGGCAGATGGATCTCCGTGAATTTGAGGCCAGCCTGATCTACAGATCAAGTTCCAAATCAGTCAGGGAGACAAAGAGAAATCCTGTCTCCAAAAAAAAAGTAACCGACATTTGAAAATCTTTCCTAAAGCACAGATTCAGGGCTATCCATAGATTCTAGGTTGGCAGTGGGGTATTATCTCTTCTGACAATCTGGAAATACCAATATCGTGTGTGTGTGTGTGTGTGTGTGTGTGTGTGTGTGTGTGTGTGTGTGTGTGTGTATGTATGCATAATACATGTGGGGATGCATGCATGCATCCACAGCAAAAGCCAGCATCCTTTGTTTTTCAATTTGTGCACATGAGATACACACATGTCATGGTCCATACAAGGAGGTCAGATGGCAACTTATAGGAATCAGTTCTCTCCTTCCACCATGTGGGTCCTAGGGTTTGAACTCAGGCTATCAGGCTTGGCAACAGGTGCCTTTACTTGATTAGCTGTCTCACACTTCCCCAGTGCCAAGATCTTTTAATTTTTTAAGAATTGTATACAATCATATAATGCATTTTGATGAAGTTCACACCCTTCCCTTCCCCTCTAATTCCTTTTTTTGTTTGTTTTTTGTTGTTGTTTTGGTTTTGGTTTTTGGTTTTTTTTGTTTGTTTGTTTGTTTGTTTGTTTGCTTTTTGGTTTTTTGGGGTTTTTTTGTTTGTTTTGTTTTGTTTCGAGACAAGGTTTCTCTGTGTAGTTTTGGTGCCTGTCCTAGATCTCACTCTGTAGACCAGGCTGGCCTTGAACTCACAGAGATCCACCTGGCTCTGCCTCCCGAGTGCTGGGATTAAAAGCATGTGTCACCACCGCCCGGCCCCCTCTATTTCTTATCCTATCCCCCCATCTCTTCTCCAGTTTTAAATGTGGGCCCACTCAAGAGCTCTCTCAATCTCTTTTTTGTTTCTTTGGTTTTTGGTTTTGTCTCTGTTTTAGATAGAGTCTCATTATGTAGCCCTGGCTGGTCTGGAACACTCTGTATCGAGCAGACTGACCTCAAACTCACAGAGATTTGCCTGCCTCTGACACCAAGTGCTGAGAGTAAATGTGTGCACAACCACACCTGGCTATATTTTTAACCCACTGAGTCCAGTTAGTGATGCCTGTGTGTATGTGAGTATAGATAATCTACAGAACATGGATAGCTCTAAGGGTTCACATTCCTAAAGGAAGCGGACTCTCCTTCCCCTAACAGCCACCAATTGCTGGTAGCTCCTCAGGAATAGAACTTCCTTACCTACCTCCATCTATGCTGGGATTTCGATTGGCTTGATCTTGTACAGGCATTGTGCCTACAGTCACAGCTTCTGTGAATTCATGTATAGAAAAGCAAATATTGTTTCACTGCAGACATCCACACTACCTCTTGCTCCTAAAATCTTTCTGCCCCCTCATTTGCAATGATGCCTGAGCTTTGGGGAGAGGGGGTGTAACCTAACTGTCCCATTTAGCACTCAACAGTTTTACCCTTTGCACCTTGACCAGTTGTGGTCTCTGTATTAGTCGCCATCTACTGTAAAAAAATAAATAAATAAAATAAAAAATAAATAAAGTTATCTGGTAAGGAATGGGAGATGAACTAATCTGTGGATGTGAAGGTAAGAGCTTGAAATGGGGGCTATTACTGTGTCTATTTAACACAGTAATAGTATTAGGTTCTCCTGTAGGGCCTATCACTTAGCTAGCTAATCGTGGATCTATTTTTTGGCCCAGTTAACAGTACTAGTTCCATCTTATGGATCAGGCTTTAAATCCAGTCAGAAAGTGATTGGTCACTCCCACAGCATTTGTGGCCCTAATGCACCAGTGGACATGAATTGCCAGGCCAGTCATTAGTGTAACTTACAGGGTTCACAGGTTTCACAGTTCCTTCTAGTACTGTGAAAGCTAGCCAGGGGGGATAGAGGTTCCAGGTGAATACCAGCTTGAATTCTTCATGACCCATAGGTCATGTATGTGGTATCTTCAGCAACAGGACCTTACCATCAAGTTCTGGAGGGTAACTATGGTAGTTTGAAGAAGAATGCCCCCCCTAGGCTCATATATTTAAATGCTTAGGGAGTAACGCTATTTGAAAAGATTAGCCTGGTTGCAGGAAGTGCATCACTGGGGGTAGACTTTGAGGTTTCAAAAGTCCAAGTCAGGCCCAGTTGCTCATTCTCCCTACTGCCTATGGATATGGAACCCTCAGCTCCTACTTGAGCATCATATCGGCCTGCATGCCACCATGCTTCCTGCCGTGCTGATAATGAACTAAACTTCTGAAACTGTTAAGTAAGCCCCTAATTAAATGCTTTCTTTTATAAGAGTTGCTGTGATATTGGTGTCTCTTCACAGCAATAGAACACTGACTGAGACAGTAACAAAGAGCAGTAGCAGTAGCCTGTAATGTTTGGATGGGGGTTAGAGGACCTCCACAGACCAACAATTCAAAAAGAGGTAATCTATACCTTCAGTGCCAGATCCCTTAATTCTGTGTAAAAATTGCCCTCCTGAAACTCACACATATACAAATCCAAGAGTTTCACACCAGGATCAGCAGGTGCAGTATAGGTCTCCAGTCAGCCACCTGGCCTTCATGGACAGCAAGCCTCAAATTGCTTGCCTGTGGGCACAAGGCCATTGCCACCAGTTGGGTAAAATCAGCCTGCCAAGGTAGAGGGGATTCCACAGACTGTGTCCAGCAGCTTCCCTGCCACAAACTAAATGAAGCAGGAGCTTTCTCTTGCTTGTGGAGAAATAATTCAGTTTCTCGTTGCAAGCAGCTGGTGAACAAGAGAACAGGAAAGGAGCAGTGCTCTACCTGAAAACAGTAGCAAAACCCCTCTACTCTGTTGGGGGGCAAAAGTCTGGAAGTTGGAGATGCCATTGAACTCTGGATCCTTCTGCCACCACTTCCCAAGTGCTAGCCTGCACCACCACTGCAGAAAAATGCCTGAAGTCTATCCCATATTCGCTGTGTAACTGAAGGAAAGTTGTTT